TCTTTGTAAATAGGGAAGGGTGGAAGGAGTGAAGGGAGGGCTAGGAATGGGGAAAAAATAAGAACCAAGATGCATTATGTAAAGGTACAAGTTCCCAATGAGAAGTGTAATTGTGTTGTATACCTAAAATATAACAATAAAACAATTTAAGAAGAAAACAAAAGGGGCTGGGACCAATAGAGAAATGGGCGGGAGAATAACAAGAATTAAGATGAATATGTACATGAACCAAGTTCCTATCATGAATGTAATCATCACGTATTTCAAACATATACTAATAAAACATTTAAGAATATTAAAAAAGAAATCCCAAATAAAAAAATTGTACCTGAAGAAGTAGAAAATGAAGAGCAAATTAAAGCCAAAGCTATCAGAAAGAAGATAACAAAGATTTGAACAAAGATAAATGAAAGTGATTAGAAAAACAACAGAAAGAATCAAGGAAGTGGCTCTTTGAAATGATCGCCATAAGATACAAAACTTTATTTTTTAAATAATTTTTTGAGACAGGTCTCGCTCTGTAGTTCAGGCTACCCTTAAATTCGCTGTGTAACCCAGGTTGACCTTGAACTCATGGTGACCCTCCTGGGTCAGCTTCCCAAGTGCTGGGATTACAGGCATGAATCACCATACTACACATCTTTAAACTAGATTTATTTTAAAAAGAGAGAGGTCTCAAATACTAAAAGCAGAAATGAAAGTGTGGATATTATTACTAACATTTCAGAAATAGAGATTTTAAGAGAATACTATGGAGTATATCTATAATTTATATAAATCTATAATTTGTATGCCAACAAAGTACATAGATCGTTTATGTTCTACAAACATAAACTACCCAAAAGTGACTTAAGAAGAAATAGAAAACCTGAGCAGACCTAGAAGTAAAGAAATTAATTGAAAACTTCCCAATAAATAAATTCACTGATGAATTGTATCAAACATTTAAAGTATTATTCTCAAATTCTTCCATAAAATGTCAGAGGATGGAAGATTTCCTGAGCCATTTTGAGGCTAGCATTGTACTGACAATCAAACCAAGGTCATCACAAGAGGATAAATCTACAGACCAATGTCCCTTACAGATGCCAAAACTCTCAACAATATACCAGCCAACCAAATGTAGCAGCATATTAAGAGGATTATACATCATAATCAAGTAGGATTTACCCCAGCAAAATGAGGGTACTTCAGCATATGAAAATCAAACAACGTAATATACCATACTAATAGAATTAAGAAGAAAAGCACATAGTCATCCTAACTGATGCAGAAAAAGTATTCGACAAAAATCTAACACCTTTTCCTCATAAAATTACTCAACAAACTAGGAATAAAAGAGCCTATCTTAAACATGAAAAAGAACATTAATGAAAAACCTACAGAGGACATCATACCCAATGGAGAAAGATTGAAAGCTTCTCCCTGTAAGATCAGGAACAGGATAAAGATGCCTGCTTTCACTGCTTTTATGCAACACTATACTCTAGCTGGAACATTTAGGCAAGAAAATGAAAGGCATCAAAATTGCAAAGAATGAAGTAAAACTATTCTGAAATGTAATATTTTATATATAAAATATTAAATAATACCCAAAATAAGCTATTAAAGCTAATAAATGTATTCAGCTCTGTTTTGTACTTATTCACTTTTGTCAATGAGCACTTCAGCCTGAAGAAGCTTTGAAAAAAATGGAGCAAAAAACACCACCATTTCGTTTCTCTTATTTTTTTTTTTCTTTCTTGGGGAAAGGGATGGCAAAGTAAAAGTGGAAGATATAGGGGAAGACTAAAGAATTAAACAACCTACATCCCTGGCTGGCTGTATTACTACAAATTAACTATCATTTCTTCATTTCCCTAAGCAAATCCTATGGTTAAATGTCCTCCAAAGAATGTTTGAAAACTTAGTTACCAGAGTGATGTTACTAGGAGATGGTCAAACTTTTAGGGGGTCGAGCTTAGTGGTAGGTCATTGAAACTATGTCCTCAAATGCTGATTATGGGACTTTGGTCTCTTCTTCCTCTTTGCTCTGCTTTCTGGCTAATGAATTGAGCAGTTTTCTCTTCTTGTATTCTTGTCATGATGTGCTGCCTTCTCCAGAAACCCAAAGCAATGGTGCCACTCAACTACACTTTATACTGTAAACTCCAGAACCATAGCCAATATAAACCTTTTCTCTTTATGTCATTATAGAAGGGCTAGCACAGCAAATAACAACAAAGCCTAGAAAACTACAAATAGTTGAGCTCTTATTTTCAGAGGCACCAAGGAATAAGGCTTGAGCCTCATACCTAGTGAAGCCTTTATAGAGAGAATTTCTAAAGTCTAGTTTTCTGTGAACCCAGAAAGGCCACATTGAATGTGTATTCTAAGACTTTGTTGAAAAGAAAAAAAAAGTCAAAACATTAAATAGAGCAAGCAAATAATCTCAACAGTACTACTGAAGTTGATAAGCAATAATGTTTTACTAATAAGTAACACAATTCAAGAGAGACTGATAGGATATGATAAAAGGAAAATCAAAATAATTGGCCAATGCATGTTGGTATAGGAACAAATTATCTGGGCTTCACTTTATACAGCTTTAAAATGAAGAAGAGGTTCAAAGGAGTTCCATGTTACTAAGAGACTCTAAGTTCAGTCTCTACTGTGGAGTAGCTGTGTGATCTTAGAAAAGTTTCTAACTATTTTTGAGCCTGTTTCCTCATACATCCAATGTGACCTCTAAGATCTTTTCCAAACTGAGGATTCTATGAACTGATGATATTTTCAGTTTTAAAAGTTCTGAAATTATTTTTAAAAACTCATTAAGAGATGGAAATACTAAAGGGAATATGTCTGGCTCTTCTATATTTGTTTTTCATTATTGCCATCTTCTCCTCCTTTCAGAAGGTTTAAGACAGTGAACAACAGGGCCAGGTATTTAGCTCAGTGGTGCTGCCACCTGCCTTGCAGGCACAAGGTCCCAAGTTCAGTCCCTGGTACCAAAAAAAAAAAAGACAATGAACAACAACTTGGAATTTATACTAGTGTATAAAAAAAAGACAATGAACAACAACTTGGAATTTATACTAGTGTATACACACACACACACACACATATATATATATACATACAGTTTATCTCAGGTGGGAAACCAAATATTGTGGTATTTATATTACAAGACCATTTCTTATACTTCAGTTTAGACCACGAGATGACTGCTCAACTTATCAAGAAGGCACCTTAGTTAAAAACCTCAAAAGGTATGGGATCCACTGTAATCACACATGGGAGGTGTTCTGGCAATATTGGATCTGCATTTGCTCACAGCAGTAATCAGCTAGAACTAAATAGCAGCTGTTCTATTTTGAAAAGGCAAATGAGAGCTATGAAACTACACATGGAAAGTCATCTGTTTACACCACATCAAAGCAAGCTGAAGGAAGAGAATGAAGAGGAGTGGTATGAGTGGCAAGACCCAAAATTATGGTCTTGTAACTTAAAATTCTCAGACCATGTCAGTGAGGCCAAAGGCTCTATATATCCATCCTTATCATCTTTTGTTTGCTAAAAACAGAAAGTCTTTCACAGGTAATACAACTAATCTTTATTATTTAATAGATGTCAAACACTATTTCATTTTTTACCCAAAACGTCTCTTTAAATTTTCATAATAAAACCCTAATTATTAATAAGAAAATGAAACAAAAAATCATTTGTTAAAGGTCACATAGCTATTGGGTGACAGGTCTATCTGAATCTAAAGCTCATGCTTTTTCTTTTATGGATTAATAATATTTCTGCTAATTTTAAGTAATCAGTACTTTAATATATTAAAATGTTTAACTTTTGTACTTTTAACAATGGAGATTAAGATTTCTGTGGGGAATGAGTACAGATACATCAATCTCATTTTAAATATATTATAGAATAATCTTGAATTTTAATGTCTAGACAAGAGAAAGAATTAATGTGTCTAAAAGCAGTCAGGGAAAGAGTAACAAAGGTCTAGTTGCAAGAAAAAAAAGAAATATGAATGGAAGTATAAATGTTAAAGAAGAAACATTTATCACTGTTTTCTGCGTTGATAAGAAAATGGAATCACAGAGAGGTGTTGTCATCTAGTCTATATTATAAAGGGCCTGAGATCTGGATTTAATTGCTAACAGAGCTAATAGCTGCAACACAGAATTGTGTTGTGAAAAGGCTACTTTTCTGTTTCTTTTTCTTGGTCTCTAAAATAAGGAGTACTGCTCTTGGGCACTCTATCTTGTCAATCTCAAAAAATATTTATGTATTATACATTATAGGGATGTTACTTTAAGTCAGGGGTACAAGTTCAATGGCCTACAGGAACTAGGCAGGTAACATTAGAAGTGGGCTGAGAGTAGAACTGTAGCCAGTAAGAATAAGTTTGCCTCATCAAAATGGAGCAGCTACTATGTTAAGTCTAGATGATTACTGTATTGCCAGGAGAAAATGCAGGTCCAGTATTGCCAGAATTCCTGATGTTTCAGACTATTTTGTACAGTAGTTATTCTATTTACAGAAAAAAAAAATCTTAACTGGATTTTTATGTGAATTCCTGGTTTAAATGTTGGGAACCCAATTCACAGTTTAAAAATCTAATCAAACCATACTTGGGCCAAGATCTGTCTATAAGATCCTAGTTTGTGATATTTAATATGAGTGAAAAGGACTATATAAAATGACTACTTATTGACAGCAATTGGTTCTTTACAAATCCCTTGCATATCCATTATTTTTAAGCTCCTAATTTTTGCTCTGAAAAGGAGAAATTATTATCTTCATTTTATAGCAGAGCAATCTGAGGTTCCAGGATATACTTATGCAAACACAGTACTTTATGTTTTAGCAGTTCATTACTGTTACTTCCACCTCTTTCTTGATTGCTGTCCTAAATTCAAGGTGGTATCTTCTTTTGTACTGACCTCTTTCTCCCTATTTGGCATTTTCTCACAAACTGAATTTACCTTAGGTCTTCCCAATTCTTGTGGCAGTTTCCAAGAAAATTTCCAAAGGGCCAAGAGAAAACATAGTCATGGATCTCCAGGAAGAAGTCTTCATTAAACTCAAAGGCACAGGGAACAGGGTGAAAATAGGGGACACTTCTCTAGAGTCCTTATCTAGGTGGCCACACCTGACAGATGCAATAATGGTAAAGAAAGATGCTGGTTAGCAAAGCATAAGGATTTACATTGTTTGGAATAGACTATAAGAAGGTCACACTTTGTCTTATTGGCATTGACAAGGAAATAACTCATGCCAAAATGCCAGCCATAATCTCAAAGCTAGTTAGTCCCAGAAGACCTGGTATCCTTCACTGTCATCTAGACTGTAAGCTCTTCAGTCATTTAGTTTATTTCCTCTTATACCTTCTTTCCAACAGAACTTTCTGCAATGATGGAAATTTTCTATCGTTGTGCTATCAATATGACAATCACTAATGGTTAAGTACTTGAAATGTGGGTACTGTGACTAAGGAACTGAAATTTTAATAATATTTCATTTTAATTAATTTAGACACATTTCTAAGTTTTTTACTGCACAGTGCTTGCCACAAAATAGATATTTAAGAGACGCCCTACCAAGGTCCCCAGTCACGCGGAACACGCCGAATCACCCCGCTTCAGACAGGCAGGTCTGCCCACACCCTACGGAGGTCTGTAGGGAACAGGGGAAGGGGACGTTACCAGAACCTCTGCAGTGAGTCCTGGTCTCCTGCGAGCCATGGCAGCACACAGCAAATTACAGGAAAGGTAGACAAATGAGACTGAGAAGAAGCTGAGCTTTGGGTCTGATCAGTGCTGCTCTGGGCAGCAAAGACAAGAAGCCCTAGCTTGCAGCACCTTTTATTTAGTACATCCAATGAAACAAATGTAACAAATGAATAATGTAGATTTCAGTATCATATTGGGATGAACAAGATGTAACAAAAGACTGGGTGGGGGCGGCAGAAATCTAAGAACAATGAGGAACTATGCAAATGAAGGTTTAGTTCCTCCCAGGAGCTACACAGATGAAGATTTGGTTCCTCCCAGGGCGTCTCCCACAGGTGTGGTCTTGTCCTGGAGGATTACAGCATCAGGGGATCATTGAGATCTCCCTTGTGACCTGAGGCCAAAATGGAAGTAAGTCTTGGAGTGTTATTGGTGGCCTGTAGGCAGGAGAACTAGGCCTACTCAAATGATTTTTCCCTAGAATTATGTAGCATTGCTCCCAACAGAGGTCCCCAGTTGTGCAGAACACACCGAATCAGCCTGCTGCAGACAGGCAGGTCTGCCCACACCCTGCCAAGGTCCTGAGTCCCACAGAACATGGCAAATCAGCCTGCTGCAGACAGGCAGGTCTGTGCACGCCCTACTGAGGTCCTGAGCCTGCTGCAGATAGGCAGATACCTGCTTCCACACTGCAAAGACGCAGAGGACACCAGACCACCAGACCAAGGTACTGAGTCCCACTGT